GTTACATTACAAAAATTTAAAGTAATACAAGTAATAGAATAAATACAGTATGGTACAAAGCTATCTTCATCAACAGCTCCGGGGATGTACCTATCTAATGCTAACCTGAGAATACAAGTTATTTGAAAAGCGAGTATCAGCATTTTTACAAATGCTGGTGAGTTCATAAGCATTTAGTGACATTTCATTCAAATAACTTAATAAAGTGATAGTTTAAGAGATTTCAGTGTATTAGAGTTCCTTCCAGAAAATCCTATATTTTCTTTAATAAAAGTAGCCTTCTACCAAGACTGGTCAGTGTAATGTGGTAAGAAGAAGTTTCCCTTAATTGCTAATAATATCAAAATACTGAATTTGATTATTAAAGAAAGCAGAGGCATCAGGGAATAACATATGCCTCAGTAGTGAGGACTTCTGACTAAGGCAAAAGAGTCATAGACTCCAGGAAAGTATCGAACTAACGACACGCCTGGTTTAGTCTAACAAATGGAGAAACAGACCCCCGAAGGTACCAAATGAAAGGTATAACTGGTAAGGTCTAAAACAGTGAACGCAGACCGAAGACGATACCAAATGGAAGGTACATCTTGCAAGGTCAAACAGTGATAACAGACCCCAGACAGTATCAAATGAAGGATACATATTGTAAGGTCAAACAGAGATAACAGACCCCAGACGGTATCAAATGAAAGATACATCTTGTAAGGTCAAACAGAGATAACAGACCCCAGACGGTATCAAATGAAGATACATCTTGTAAGGTCAAACAGAGATAACAGACCCCATACGGTATCAAATGAAAGATACATCTTGTAAGGTCAAACAGAGATAACAGACCCCAAACGGTATCAAATGAAGATACATCTAGCAAGGTCAAAACAGTGTGACTCTGAAAAAGGTGACATCAGCATACAGTGTAAATCGCTGATGAATTACTGTTACCTTAAAGCCATGAATTATAAGGCAACCCAGGATACTCGTAACCATACTGACTAGAGTACTAGACGCCCTACAAGCATCTATATAATGTGACATTTGTCACCCCTTGGCTTGGTAGGCCGTGGACTGTAGCTAGCAGTCAGGGTGCGGGGTTGTCAATCCTGTATAGGCCTATACACACAATGTCCGCTCTCCCTACAGGAGACTCTGGTTACCAACTAGACGACGGAGAAGGCCGCGTCCCGAAGATGCATCCCAAATAGAGGATAGTGTGTTACTAGGAGGGAGTGGGTTTCTTATGTAAGTGTAGACTAGAGGTATAGACTCTTAACTGAATTGACTGAAGAAAACTCGTATGTCTATGCTCGTATACGTAATATATAACTAATGAATCGAACGACCTTCAGATGGACATCCGATCCCACCAGACCACATCTGAACGAAGAAAAGGAAATAGGGCGGACAAGCCTTCCTAAGTCCTTCAATCATTATTTATATACATCTATACAAGTATAAACATACATCTAACTACGCTTGAGTGTGTATCATACGGTGAAGTATAAGTGTACAGTGGAACATCTGAGTCGTGAAGTATAAGTGTATAGTGGAACATCTGAGTCGTGAAGTATAAGAGTACAGTGGAACATCTGAGTCGTGAAGTATAAGTGTACAGTGGAACATCTGAGTCGTGAAGTATAAGAGTACAGTGGAACATCTGAGTCGTGAAGTATAAGAGTACAGTGGAACATCTGAGTCGTGAAGTATACGTGTACAGTGTGGGATAATCGAACCATGAAGTATAAGCGTACCAAGTATAAGTGTATCACGAAGCAGAGACGACAATAAGTGACGTAAGAACGTCTATCAAGTATAAGTGGAGTAAAGTCGTTATCTAGTATAAGTGAAGGAGAAATCGTATCACTAAGTAAGAGCGTGAATAAGTATAAGCGTCATCAAGTATAAGCGACTATAGGTATAAGTGAAAGTGTTACCGAGTCAGAGTATAAAATAAGTATAAGTGAAGTAGCAGTGTTTAACAAGTAAAAATATACGTCAAAAAGGGAAATCTTTAATGAAAAGCCTTTATGTACAGAGAAAATCACAAATTTTATTCCTTTGTAAAATACGTTTAAAACCTTAGAGGATCTTTCATAAACCAATTTAGTATGAATTTGAATAAATCAGTATAAGTAAAAGTTATGAAACAGGTAAAAGTCATTTTAGTGTCCCACTCGGTAAAACAGTGTAAAAGTGGTAAAATCTTGTGCATGCGGGTTATCAATCATATGCGATTGACATGATAACTGGCATGTTTAACTTGTATTCCCCCCTATAAAACATTTAAAAGCATTTAAAAGGTTCATTCAGGGGTATGAACTCACCTGGTGTAAGTAGGTCCGACGAAAGTGCCGATTGAGCGTTCGGGGTCACGCAAGGACTTGAACACACACAAGGACCTATTTTAACATATGATAACATATGTTCACATACAATTAGCATATAATATACTAATTAAACAATTATACACACTCAAAGGAGTGGAAAACACTTTTGGTTGAGTGTTTGGGGTCCCGGGTAACGTTTACGGGTGCTAAGGGTCTCTTATCAGTTGTGGGACTTTGCTATACTCACATATCAAGTGTGTAAATGGATTTAAAACACCAACATGGACCAAAAAGGAGTTTACGGCCCAACCTAAGGGAGTTTACGGCCGTAAACTCCCAAGGTTCTATTCTTGGGTTTTGATGCTTCTAGCTTGTTCATTGAATTATTCTAAGCATTTTTCCTAAAGGGCATGAGTGGATTTGAGGCCTCTAAGGGTACTAAACAAGAGTTTACGGCCTAGGAACTCTCCCAAGGGAGTTTACGGCCGTAAACTCTCAACCTTTGAGTTTAGTGAAGTTTTAAGCCCCTATTGCCTTCCTAGAATTTTCTTATGAAGTTTGATGCTATTTTGGGTGATTAAAACCAACATTTGAGGGGGTTTTGGGGAGTTTACGGCCTAGACACTTGCTTGGGCCATAAACTCCAAATCAAGCCTCATTTCATTGTGTTTAAGTCCTTAAATCCTTCCTAGCATTTTATAGAAATAGTCTAAGGCCATTTGGGGGACAAAAACCAACATTTTGGGCATGTTTGGGGAGTTTACGGCCTAAGCATGTGCTTGGGCCGTAAACTCATTTTTATCCTTCATTTTGATGTGTTTTAGTGATCTAAACCCAAAATACCAAGTCCCTAAATTATGTATGAAGCCTAAGGGTGGTTTGGGAGTGTTTTTGGGGCCTTTTAACATGATTTTGAGGTGTTTACGGCCTAAGCTTGTGCTTGGGCCGTAAACTCTCTTTTTTCCCCTAAATCATTGTGTTTTGATGTTTAAACACTCCTAGGCAATCCCCTTAATTTATTTCCAAGCCTATAGGGACAAGTTTGGGTCATTTTGGCCTCATTTTGGGTGTTTACGGCCTAAGGAGGTTCTTAGGCCGTAAACTCCTTTTTCATCGCTTCTAAGTCCGATTTTTGGGCTATAAACTCAATTCAATATGTTTAGAATAAGCTAGGGTAAGCGGACTTACTATTTGGAAGCGTTTGGTTGCGGTTTCGGGGCGAAAACGGGTCTAGAGAGAGAGTATAGAGAGAGAGTGTAAAAAGTCTCCAATAGACTCCACTCACCCTTATATATGGTTTTGAGTTGGGACACAATGGAAGTCTACCCGATACTGCCGTTAAACGGGGCTTTTGGTCGCACCCGATTTAGTGGTCGTAATAATAAACTAATATTTTCCAAGTAAATGGAAATATGTGCTATTTATTTTATTTCCTTTTATCACGACTTAACGACATATAAACATACACAATTGAAATGTTTATTAAACTTGAAGACTTCTCATTAACGGAACTTTTGAACAGTGGAATATTCCGTTAACGGTAACGGAGAAATGTAACGGGACAACTTGGGTTGTCACAAACTCCCAGAGGCTTGATGCATATTTCACCATCTTCAAAGTCTTTTAAGCTGCCTTGACCTTTAAGCAATGATTGTGGCACAGTTACTTGTCTTCCCATTGCTAAAGCAAGTTTGACATCAGTTAACGCTAGACAATCATAGTAATTGTCTATGAACATCTTAAGGCGTGTAAAGCTAATCAGAAAATATTCTTTGCTGGTTATTTGAAGTTTCGACACATCAACACTTCTCAAGATATTTGCAACATTGATGAGATCATTGAGATTTATCAACCAAAAATATGCAACTGAGAAGTCACAAGCCACATTGTTTGCACAAACCACATAGAAGCGGAAGTTCTGCGACAATCCTTCGAATAAGGTGTCCTTTGAAATGTTCAACACTTTCACTATATTTACTAGGGACCAAACTTCCTCTTCTTTCTTCTCAGGAAGAGGATGAAATCCTAACTTCAACTTCTTGTACTCCACCTTATCTTTGAACTTGTCCACAAGCTGATATTGAGAAGAAATAAACTTCATATGATTAATAGGGAAATCCAGCTGGTTGAAATCTGAATTCTCTATATCATAACTCTTCTTCGGTATCTTCTCAAAACCATACATGTTACCAAGTGAAATAATATGTTCGATTGTTTCGTAATAGTATTGCTTGTTTAGATCTCCTTTATCAATTCCTGGAGGATCACCCTGTCTTTGCCTCATGATAATGTTGATTTGTATATGTTTTTACACCTCCTTTTCGATATTCTTCTTCTTCTCTTCTTCTGATAACTCCTTCATAATTCCCTTCACACAATTACCTTTAGCCTGATTCGAAGGTGGCAGCTTAGTACTCGAACCCTCAACAGTCAAACTAATGATTATGCCTTTTGTCAATGGCTTTAAAGTGATTGTAGTTGAGGTTGTTGACATTGAAGTTGGAATAGAAGTTGGAATTTGCATAATCATCACCTTTCCAACAAACTTTCCTTCAGAAGTATCCTTCGATGAACCAGAACCAATACCCTTTGAAAAACCTGAGCCAACCCCATTTTCTTCCCCTTGCACCCCTGTTTTAACAGGTGGGGCATCTGTTGGGATCAACTTCACCAGTTTCAGAAGAGGGGCAAGGTCGAAATCTTTGAAAGAGACTCCATAGAAACCGAAGATGAAGGAGAAACATTAATCTTCGAAAGTGATTCCTTCAAGCTCCCCAAAAACTCTTCCAACTTAGCAAAGACCTTGGAATCATATGCTGTCTTTGAATCTACCTCAATGTTGAGACAATTGTAAAACTCAACATCCTTCGTAACTACATCAACAATTACATCAACCTTATAATGAAGGGTTGAGTAATTCTGATCAAGTTTAGCAATTTCATTTGACATATCTATTTTGATTGCCTCGGTTTGGAGCTTGACAACCTTCTCAACTTTCTGAACCTCTTCGACGAACAGAATATGAAATTCTTTAGCAACTTCCCTTAGGTCCTTAACCACATATTGAAAATTATCAGCATGACGCTTCAAACGTGCTTCATGTTGCGATTTAATCTGATCCATTACCATCCACAAACTATTTTCTTGGGATTGCAATAAAACATCAATTTCGATCCTAGAAATAGAATTTTGACTTCCAGAGTCAACCTAAAGTTGTAGTAATGAATTCAACTTTTGATTCAAGATCTTGAATTCTTTCTAGTTATAAGCATATGATCAAGAAAGTTATCCTCCTCAGGATCAAACTTGATATCAGCAAAGGATACCATAACATCATCATCATCTTGATCAACCTCTAGAGTAGATTTTGCACCTTCAGTTGATTGAGAAAGGGGAAAGAGAAGTAATAGGTTGATTGAGAATGTTGTGATAAGTGGGTGAAGTGGTGAAAGCTGGTAAAAAAGTGAGTGTAGGAGTAATATATGGAGTTAAAGAAGTAGAAGTGTAGATAATGGTTGTTTCGATTATGGATGAAAGAAAAATGGAAATTGGAACAAATGAAGTTAAAACATTTGAATTACCTTGGGATTCATGAGTCGACATCCCATCACCCATGTTGACATTTTTGTCCATATTATATATGTCCACAGTGATGCGTGAAGTTCGAACCTCCTCTAAAATGGGTTTAGCAATCGAGACTTCTGGTGGTATGACATTGGACTGCTCAGGGATGGATGGAGTTGAATCGAAGCTAATGTTATCATTGTGAGGTGGAGACTGATCACTATCATCTTCGAATTCTGTCTCAACCACAACTTCATCAATGGATCTTATAATATCTTCTGCTTCTTCTTGAGCTTCTTTACGATGGAATGAGCTCGTCATTTCTTAGAAGCCGAAGAAAATGGAGATGGTATTTCGTGACTAACCAATCCCTTTTGACTTAACTGTGATTTACGAATCCTCTTTGATTTGGAAACAAAAGCTCCTTTAGGTGATGAAAGAAACTTCTCAATAACGTCTTCGATAATAGGCATTGGTTCAGGTGAATGATGAGGTCTATGGACTAGCTTCTTCGTTCTTTTTAAAACACTGATGGAACCGCTTCATTTTGAACATCCTGAACAATAGGTACTTGGATAGGCTTCATTATCTCCTTCTCGACTATCTCAAGAACAGATTTAGGGCTTTCAACCTTTGAAGATTTCTTTGAGCTGTTGCCACTTTTTGAAGTTCCTATAATTCCCATTGGTAACAAACTAACAACACCCCTATTTCAACAGCAAGGTTGATTTTGGTAAGATAAGACACAAGAACAAGGTTCATCGGATCCACCTTGCGAAGCATAGCATCCAAAATCCTCACAATATTAGGAAAGATCTCCAAATCATATTCAACATTCTTTTGATGTTGATAAATTCCAAACTCAGCTTTTGAAACATCAGTTGGAACAAGAATCCCTTCCTTCTCATACACTTGTTACAGAATCAGACTCCAATATCTAGCACACGACACACCATTGGCAACATTTGTGTGTAAGATACTAGCACCAAACTCCTCCCATAGTTGAGTAGCATAATCAACAGTAAGATCATAATATAATCCATCAATCATAGCATAAACTTCAAGTTTAGCTTTATCAAGACAAACACTTCGACTCGTCAAGCATCGAAGAAATATCCCAAATAGAAAATTCCACATACACGGTAAAGAAGACTTTTTAAACTAATTGATTTTGGTGAGTAGGGGTTGATGACCTATCTCATTAAACACGTGAAGCACCTGTTCATTTGTAACCTCATAGAAAGGTCCAACATTTAGAATGTTCATGATTTAAGAGAACTGTTTCTTATTGAGCTTATACTTCTTGTTGTTGGTTAACTGGAATGTGACCACCTTTGAAGTTTTGTTGAACATGGATGTAGAACTAGTTAATGATAACCATGTCATTGGAACTGAGAAAGAAGCGGTCATCACTTTGGAAAGAACTGAATGATTGAGAGAAACAATCAACATCTGCAGTTCTTCTGAGTATTTCGAAACTTATGGTTGAACCCTATAATTAGAACTCTGGATGTTCAAACAGAGGTTGAGATGTAGCATCATCAGTGGTTTGAGAAAGATCTACATGAACATTGGTTTCCACCATTGTTAGGGCTTGAAGGTTTAAGAGAAAAGATAAGTGTAAGGAAAGAGAATTTGGGGGAAAATCTTCAACCAAGATACATAAAGTTTGAATTGGTGACCTCCAAATTCCTTTTATACTAGGTACACAATTTAAATTTGAAGTGGTTATCAATAAAATCATGCCACGTGTGTTCTGGAAAAATGGGCCTATAGCCATAAAAATCGCGCCGTCTGAAAAGTAATAAACACTTTTTCTTGGGAAATCATGAAGTAACCAAACGATCACATCAATCAATTGTTTTCTTGCCCCAAGAGGAAAAGAACCATCACCGACCCTTCGTTTCGAGTCAGGGCTCTTTCGCTTTTGGGATGAGAAATGAAATCATAGCCAGAGTTTCGAAATATAGGTTTGAGTTGTTAGTACTCAAGACCTCAAGGATTTCTTGTGAAAATGTGTGCCAAAGAGTAAGATGAGAGCAAAATAAAAAAAAAAATTGGTTTTGTGATGTCAATTAAAAGAATTAACATAAAAGCAGTAAGACCTTAGGCTAACATCACTTCGTTTTACATCAAGAGAGATTTCGAATAGCTTGTGTGGTATCCCGTGAATTACAATCGAATATTCATAAAGGAATATCACAGGGCTTCTTTTAGATAGGCTTCGACAGTAGGCACAATTTTGTTCATTACCACAACTTAACATAAGTGTGAATAAATGTGAACAAAATTAGTTGTATGACCAGTGTAGTCAAGAACAAGTGTGGTAAGACAAACTTTAAAAGTAAATAAAGATCAAATAGATATTCAGACTAAAATCATATTTAAAAAACAATTAAGAACTGGGCCTTGTTGGGCAAAAATGTCTTCAGTATAGAATATTTTATCAAGACCACGCATAACAAAAGAATATGATTTTGAATATCGAAGTGTGGTATTGAAACAAGTGTTTCGTTAGAATCTTGAACATAAATTTCACTATGAATTCCTTTACAAGTTGGGAATTTTGGGTTTTACTATCATCACAGACTCATGAATTAAGATTATTAACACATACTTGTGTAGTATCTACATTCTGATTGGGTTATACCATAGATGTCGAAGATACGAAAGTGAAGTGTGTGAACCGCGAAGAATTAAGTTGATAAAAAGATTGGTTAAGAATCAAAGTGTACCACTGAAAATGATAAGGACTATTAAAAAATCTCTTAACTCTATGAGAAGATAAAGGTAGCTCGTAGGCTAATGCGAATATAGCCTATTTGGGAAGGAACACTCATAGTGAGGTATCCATTAAGGCTTCAGAACACATATATTCTATGAGTCTTAGGTCGACATACAACAACATGCTTCTAGGGATACCTAACTAGTGCAAAGATTCGAAATTATACTTCTCCAATGATCACGAAGCAAAATCCACAAAAGTATGTCAATTGAACACTAAACAAAGAATTAATAAACATGCAAAATAACAAAAAAAAATTTTGGATTTTTTTTTTGAAATGAAATGTACAAAAATAAGAAGATCTTTTTGGAATTTTTGTTTTTGAAATGAAAAGTACAAAAATAAGAATTTTTTTTGGTATTTTGATTTTATAAACATGCTATGAAAATAATTGTTACTAGATAAATGAAATGAAGGACATCGACATTGAGACGTTGGACTTCGAAACATCAAGTCTGCTCAGAAAATGAAGTACGTTCTGAATCATTCAGAGAAATGTTGAAAACGAAGCATGTCGATTGCTGAATCGTGAACAGTAACTTCTGGACCATTCAACGAAGTTATGACTCTTCTTTATTTCATTACGAAGTTAAACTGGGAATAACATTTGCATCAATCATTCCTAATCCAGACAAGATCCTGAGAAAAGAGTTTTCATCCAAATGTTTGGTAAAGATGTCAGCAAGTTGATCTGTTGTTTTTGCAAAGTAAACCTCAATATTTCTATCCTCGACATGATCATTGATGAAATGATATCGAAGTGCTATATGCTTGGTGTTCGAATGTTGCACCAGATTATGGAAGATACGTATTGCACTTTGTGAATTGTAATGTGAAGGTATATTTTTCATGTTGATTGCATAATCATGAAGTTGGCTTTATATCCAAACGACTTGAGAAGTGCAAGCTGTAGCAGCAACATATTCCACTTCCGCTATGGAAATCGATACACAAGTTTGTTTCTTCGATTGTCAGCTAACAAGCTTCCCATTCAAAAGTTGGTATTCACTTCTAGTGCTTTTTCGGTCAAGTTGACATGCACCAAGATCTGCATACGAAAACGCTTGAATAAAGAAACCTGTATTTGAAGGGTACCATAAACCCAACGAAACAGTCCCTTTGATATAGCGAAAAATATTCTTCACAACTGTTAAATGGGGTTCCTTGGGATTCGGCTGATACCTGGCACAATTACAAATAGCAAACAGAATGTCAGGTCGACTAGCAGTTAAGTATAGTAACAAACAAATCATGCTCCTCTACAAAATAATATTGATTGCAAGATTTTCCATTGAAGGTCTTAAGCGTGAGACGACAGCCATTAGTACTCGCATTTTGAATCGTTTGTTATTCCAAACTTCTTAAGCAGATTCCAAGAATACTTCTATTGATTTATGAAAATTCCTTCTATGCTTTGATGATTATTTAATCCCAGAAAATTATTAATCTTACCCATCATACTCATCTCGAATTAACTTTTTATCATATTCTCAAATTCATTGGACAATAAAGGATCAATCGAACCAAAAATAATATCATCTACGTAAATTTGAACAAGCATCAAGTGATCCCCCACTTTCTTTCGAAATAGAGTGGGATCAACAGACCCTTGTTTAAATTTCAAGAGTTTTAAAAAATTGGTAAGAGTTGCATACCAGGCTCGAGGTACTTATTTTAAACCATAAACAACTTTATCGAGAATATAACAATGATCAAGAAATTTATCATTTACGAAACCTGGTGGTTGCTCAACATATACACTCTCTTCTAACAC